TGAGGTTGAAAATCATGACTATTAAAAAATTTTGATGGATAAGATAAATTCAGATCCTAATGATCTCAATTAGACACATACATAAACATGGAGAATGGAACTCAAAGTAGGAGATATGATTGATGTCAGTTTAGAGATACCAAAATCTTGAGGTGATTTCGAATGGGTCTAAGCATAGATATTATCATTATATTTTGACGACAATCTTCAACTAGACTTTATTTTCGATAAATGGCAACAAAAAACATTAATTAGCAAATGGTCTATCAAAATTGAGTAGTTTGGAAAACATACAAAATAATAATATGAATAAAGAGATAAGTATGAAATAATGATGTAAGTTGATACGAATGACCTGCAGATTTGGTATAGATCAATTATTTTAGATATCTAAGAAAGAAAAGAATCAAATAGTGAAAATACTATTCTAATGGCTTTTATTGGGTATAGAGTTTACTGTGAGTAAGGAAAAAAATAGGATGAATTGGGATCATTTGAGGGTTGGTCCCAAAAATTTGATGAATGGATTCCTCTGTATTCTTAGCGTATTAGACCATTTCTCACATAAACCTTGAAATAGACACTTATTCTTGGAGCAACAAACTTTATTCTTATAAATTCAGCAATTGCATCACTCAAAATTGTATAATTATCAGTCGAAAGTGGAGCTGATACTGGCGTAACTACAGATTTTAATGAATCTACTCTGCTAATTGCATGCTAATTGGGAAGATATGAAATAGCTGAGTATTTAATTTCACTTAAAGTAGATTTAAATAAGAGAGCTAAATATTTTATTTCACCTTTGATTGCGGCAATCTAAGGGGAATATTTTGATATTGTAAGATTATTGGTAATAAATGGCGCAGATTTGAACTTAAATACTAATAATATCTTTGCTACACTGAAAATACTTTAAGAACAATAAAAAATATTGCATTTGATTTATGAGATTCAAGAATTTGAGAGAATTAAAACTATTTTCAATCATCTTGAGGGAAGATATTCGCCAGGAAAAATTTAGACCTCATATAATAGGATAAACAAGAATATATTTCGTAAAGTTATCACTGAGTATATTTGAATATTTATAATTTATCAAAACAAGCTTACATAATGATTATGGGGTTTTGGGGTTTTGGGG